CTCATCTGTAAGTAGAGGTAACGACGTTTTGTGTGTAGCAAGAATATGTAACGTAATCTTAATAAGGTCCAGGCTGTGCAGAATTTCGCTTTACGATCACATCACACCTATACTAACAGAACTTAAGTGGTTACCTATTAGGATACAGCTACATCTTAAGAAAGCAATTCTAGTTTTTAAGTGCATTAACGGAATGGCCCCAGTTTACTTAGCAGATAGCCAAATATTTAAGTCGTGACGTGACTGATTCTAAAAGCTCTGGTTACTTACACCTAACTAAGATGAGACAAACTTGTATGATTGATTTCGTGCGTGTCTTTGGTGCGAATATAATAAGAACAAAACGTGAGTTCTTGATTCAGTGAGCATGGTGTCTGTCATATCTCAGTGACCTCTGTAGGGTAAGTAAACAGCTGGCTTCTTTTTATAAGGCCACTTAGCGGAAACATTACCCGGCTAAAACTGTTATGGTGGTCAGAAGGTCTTATTTTCTTGAAGAAATTCCAACAACATGACTAAACTAGCCACACCGGCGTGGAGGGCATTGTTCTAAAAATAACATTAAGCTGGCTACCTTCTCTTTTTTCTTTCCTTCCTTTCTTCCTTCCTTCCTTCCTTCCTTCCTTCCTTCCTTCCTTCCTTCCTTCCTTCCTTCCATCCTTCCTTCCTTGCTTCCTTCCTTGCTTCCTTGTTTGTTTGCTTGCTTCCTTGCTCCTGAAAGAACGTGAAAAAAAAGCATGAGTGGACAAAATGGCCGGCCCTAAGCAATTTTGGAGCTTGAAAGAACGAAGCAAACATGGCGCTAAATTAAGTGAAATTGTTTTTATTCATTTTTCCATATTTCTGCTTCTTAATGGCACGTATATATAATCATTATATTTTAGTAAAAACAAAAAAGGTAATAATAATGATAAAAAATTGAGAAAAATACGCAAACGTTGGGTTATAGTATACTGGGGATGAGGGCCGGCGACAAAAATGCTAAAGCCGCTGTAATTGGCTGAAACAAAATTCTCCGCTCAGCTGGATAGGAAGTGTAACTGAGCGATAAACGATGCTTGTTCATGTTGTAAAGTAATATAGTATAGACAATTATCGCTATAGCCATGGGCTTTAGGCAGAATATTTGGTTTGTGACGGGGAAATGCTTGTTAGTAGACCAAATGAATCACTAATTACTCACTTGGATCTGTCATAGTTAATGAAGAAATAGAAAACGCGCGCGCGTGCTGTGTGCTGTCATAAAGCACGCGGGGGTTGGCAGAACACGAGAGAAGTGTTAGGAGAAGCACGACGCGTAGCGGAGTGCTTCTCGACACTTCTCGAGTGTTCTGCCAACCCCCAAGT